TCAAAGAACATTAGTGGTACTATACCTTGATGCAGCGACCCTCCAGGAAATACTTGCAGATGTTTCTCCCGTTGTGTTCGACTGTGTGCTGATTGATAAACTCTTTGCTCATAATTGGCCGTTTCTTCTGAAAAACGGAGGAATTCTTTCCTTCCTGTAACACACATACAAATCTGTAGCCTTAGTTTTGTCTTTATGCCAGACTATGTGTTAAACTGAACAGCACAGTCAAAAGTTAAAACACTGCAAAGTTGTGATGCGAGGAGTAAGTAAGATTAAAATCCAAGCATTCTTCAAGCACTTTCAAGGTTCCCAACCCAAACATTTCTAGACTCTCTAAGCTTTATCAAATGTAATTTGTTAAAATAAATTGTATTTGGAGAAATTAAGTTTACATTAACTATAGTATTAGTGTTGATCATGATTATCTCAACAGACACACATTTAGCTTATTTAGCTCCGCTACACTGTGTGTCTGTTGAGTTGAGTCAACAAATATGACTTGAATTGTTTAATTTCAATTGATGAATATCTTTGGTTTTATTACGAAGATGAAACACCAGATAAAAGTGAAAATAAAGCGTTGTTCATATACAAATCAACATCCAAGCAACTAAAAATACAGCAATTTATTGTTACGTTACTATTAAGGGGTTTACAGAGCTGTATTTGTCTTAATAATATACAATACAGATAGGTCTAGCTGAATGTTAAAGGCAGACTCACTGGGACCATGTCTTCCATGCCCTGGTCTCCTCCTCGTCCTCGTCCACGTCCTCCCCAGGGTTTGCCCTTCAGCTTCTTGTTCTTGAAGAGCATCCCACGTCCTCTCCCCGGCCCACTGCCTCGGCCCCTTCCTCTCTGCCCAACTGAGAACGATGAAAGAAGAAGTCATCAAACACAACAGCAACAAAAACAGTACATTTAGATACTACATAAATGATCTGATTTGAAAGTGTCTCATTCATACACTGCTGTTGTTTCATCCCCCTCATGCTTCCTCTCTTCATCTGGTCTTTGGATTGTCGTCCCCTTCCCCGACCCTGCGGACCTGAATCCTTTGATTGCGGGTACTCCGACATGTCATCTTCGTAATCATCCTCCTCTTCGTCATAGTCATACTTGTCATCACTGTAGTCGCTGTATTTGTCGAAATCACTGCTCTTTGGAGGCGGGGACTTCTGGGAGTTACCATGACCTCCCTTTGAATCGCGTCCATGCTGGAAAGTCAGTAGTTAAAGAGAATAAAGTCACGCAATTATACCTTTATGAATATTTAGCATCAGCATGCCAGCGGTCGTGAACTCACCTGAGAGGACTGGCCATCTGATCCCTGGGTTTTCCGGTTTTTGGGCCTTTCTGATCGGTCGTAGTCTGAGTCATAACTGTCGGAGCTGGAGCTGCTGGAAGGGGAGTGGTGCTGAGGAGAAGGGCGAGGGAACAAAGGAAAAACACATTAAGGGGAAGTTTGAATTAATTCCTTTATTGCGATAAGATTTATTAAAGCGTCTTACTTTCTGTCTGTCACGCCTCCTCCTTTTGGACCTCCTCTTCTCTTTGGTCTTCTTGTATCTTTTCCTGGAGTGCCTGTGGGTCTTCTCTTCTTTCTCTTTAACTTTCTCTTTTTCCTTCTCTTTGTCTTCATTAACCTCAGCAACCTCTTTATTTTCCTCTTCGATCCCAATTCCTTCATCATCTATTTCTCCGTCTTCCAGTTCGCCATCCTCTCTGAAATGAGGAGAAAGGTATAAGTGTAAGGGTTTATAGACGGTGTTTTGTTATTATCAGACATTATTAAATAAATAAAAAACATCATGAGCAGAACCAGAATCACCTGCTGTAATCATTTAATAAGAATATTAAATAATACTAAGCCAGCCATAATGTATTTTCCCTTTATTTGGAACAACTAAATACGATGCTAGAGATGTTCCATTACGCCCTAAGCTTTCCTGTACTAAAACATCCCATCCATAATTCAAGGCTAAGTTTTGATTTCCTGTGAGCCAGTGTGTGTTGCTATTTCATGAAAGCCAAATTTATTTCAACCTCCGGCTAAAAGAAATACACAAAAGCCTTTTGATTTCTAAAAGCAAGGTTATTTAGTTGTTATACAATGACAGCCTGAAGTCAAAGATACACTTATTATGTGTTGTGTGTAGGCAAACAAATAAAGATGAATGAATAAGGTCCATTATTACTCTTGAGTAAAAGTATGCCAAACATTTTGATGGAATTTTAAAATAAGCTATCAGGCTGGAAGGCCTGAGCACTCCTCTATGACCTCTATAAATGCATACCAATCAAGAATGTAAGTATATAATAGAGCCATAGTCTATTAATCTTATGATCAGTATGATTATTTTGGAAGAACTTTGGGTTTGCTTTCTTTTACTTTGCTTTGTGTGTGACCCAGGTGCAAACTTCACACATGTTGCTTTTAATGTCCTTTAGACACGGATGGATCGGGTACTTTTAGTTGGTAATAACTCTAGCTTGGCAGTTAAAAGCAATTTTGTATTACACCTGTTTCAAATATAAAGATATGCCTGGAACAGCTGTATATAAATCATTCCAGTGTTATTTTCATATCATGTAATGTCAGCTGATATGAAAATACAAAGCAGCGAGAAGCATGAAACCAAAACACCCTGAAATGGGAAAAATGTCCACCAACTGATCCACGTCTGTTTTCACAGACACTAGCTACCTCTTTCTCTCACACCAGTGCAGATCATTATTCAAACTTTTCACCATATCCAAAGCCATCACATTACTGTACCTAACTTCACTTTTATTCCACAGCAGAAACCTCAAGATGCAATATGAAACAATTGTTGTATATGGGGGGGAAATGTCATAAAAAGACATAGGAATATGTTTTATAATATAAATACTATGAGTAGATATTCAATGACTTTTCTAACATAAATTTAAATTCTATTTTTGCACAACATAAATCAACTCGTGTGTTTTCACTGACTTAAAAAACAACTTTTAAGGTCTTGATTTTTCACACATAAATGTACAATATCTCAATGAGAGGGGGACCCCATGTCTAACCATGTAAGAGGAAACTGAAATGCACTGAGTGATGCATGTTATGTGTAAATCAGGGACTGGCAGCCCTGGACAGCTTGTATTCCAACCATGTATCACAACATCACCTGTTCATTTTTCTTAGCTTCATAAAACAGTAAAATCCTCTGGTGAAACCTTTAGCTTGACACCATCAAACCCTAGGCCCTCTTTGTTCACATGGTCGGACAGCCCTCTGAGGACTAGAGACCAATCACAAGGACACAGGCATCAACCCTTTGTGAACCCTGCCTCAGCAGTACTGCCAGGTGCCCGCTAGAGGGAGCACAGCACTATGATGGGCGTGGCATTAACATCATAGTCATTTGCATAGTCTCCTGCAGATGGCAACAATGAAGCCATGAATTCATTCCAGCACCACAGCTACAAACACGATGAGGTCTGCTATCTTACATGGAAATGATGGTGAATGACTCTTAACAATGTGATGGGAAATCAATGTTATCTGGACAGCGTTATTCAACTGCACTAAGAGGCATGCAAAGATCTTTGAGGGGGGAAACCGTGGGCTCTAAACCCTGCAATTCATGGTTAAAAAAAAGAAAAGAAAACAGAAACACAAGCATGTCGACCCACAGCACTGAAACGCACAGATGAGCGTATTAAGAATTGCATAAGAATGTTACTCGACCTTTCATCCCCTGCAAGCTCAGAGTCTGTCATGTTTTTGTCAAGAACAGGGACTGGGGGACTGGAAACAAGGCTCACAGAAGCCATTGGAAAACGGATCTGCCTCCTTTCTCTCCGGCAGGCTACACGAGTGAATTAACTCAGTCACTCAAGGAGACGGTGTGTTGTGAGAGATGCTGGAAGATTTTCAGACTGGAAAAAACTCACGGTGTTTCATGTCTCGACAGAGACAATAAACAGACACTGTCCTCTTTCATATCAATGACGTTTTAACTCTGTGAGCACAGCTTGATACCCCGCTTTGCTAATGTCCCGTCGGTTGACAGCTGCCATGGTGAAATAGAGGATACGGAGGGAGAAACAGACAGAAATGTAACCATGTTCGTTGATTTCAGCATCTTCATAGGCTTTCTCAACAGGGACATCATCTCAAAATGGCTTCTGAGGTCTGCAGCACATTCCTAGATCATGTATTCCTCCATGTATATATATAGTCCTATCTGGATCTATCTAACCTGGTTACAGCCGATCCTTGTCAGCTATTGGTCAGGCATCGCCTGGGTAAAAAGAACAGCGATTCTTATTGGTTCAAATCAACGCCAGTCAATTTCAACATCTGCAAAATGAAGTGTTTACGACGTCCATTGTCAATGTTTTATTAACGTGTATTGCGCAGTTATAATGACCCGAGTATAGGGTGTTTTTAAAGACAAAAACAGCTGAAGCCATTTATCTTTATTCCTACCTACACATTTATTTCCTTGTTTATTGTTTATTGACTGACGCGCGCGAATGAGGTCGACTTCACGCGCACGTGCAGTTCCTGTTATCGATCACCAGGTGTAGCTCTGACTCTACAGAGCAAACCCTAAAATAAGAGCTTGTACAATGGTAACATCAAACCAATAAACATTGTCTACGTCCGGTAGTTAGTTACATTTTCAGTCAATGGTCTCTCTCACAGTGAGTGTTAGTATATTGGCCTATAGCCTACAGTCTAAAAAACACGGATATAGTTAACTGTTTGTCCTGTTTTAGATAGAGAATAGGTCATTTTAGATGTGTCTAACCGTCTTTGTCACTCAGAGCGACTGCTGACGTCGTGTTATTCATCATAATATTGCAATGAATATATTATTCGGAAGACATCCTGTCATGTGAGTTTGTATGAAAAATGTAGGCTAACTATTATTGATTTGATACCCTTTGTGGCCAAGTAAACAAACAATTAAGGTCATAGGCTATCCCACTTGAGCTATAGCCTTCAGCCAACTCTACAGTGTCATTGACAGCAACAGAGAGATGTAAGGAGAAAATCGCACAATGTTTGGGAGTATCTCGGTGGGAGGGATTCCTTCTGCAGGCGTGCAGAGCTCAGAGGCTGAACTGTTCCAGAGCGCAGATAAAGAGAAGGGAGCGCATCTCTGTGTCAGACACCTGATGAGCATCCCCCAAACTCTGGAAAGCAGCCGGGGACAGAACCTCCCGAGAGATCACTGTTTTGGGGATTTTATCGAAGCTCTATCAAGTTTGGAAAACACCAGCAAAGGAGTATTACTTTTATAAAAATAGGCTACAGTGATAAACTGGACTTTCAGAGATGGCACTCTCTTTTCGACGCAGGTGTTTGCTTTTGCTGTGTTTGACAGCTATCCAGGGTGGCCATGCTTCCGTTCAGGTAAGAGTTACTTTAGTGACAACTCTTTGTCCAAGAAGATCTGTCGTCAGGTCAAAGTTGCTCAATAAAGTAGGCTATGTTATCAAATCTTACAATCTGAGGTAGCCACATTTGGGAAATATGTATTTGAGGATCACCTTAATATCTTAATCCTATTCATCTATAACAAGTGACACCAACCACAATTTGTTGTGTGTGTTGTACTGTCTTACACTTTATCCAGCTGTTATTGTGATTATGCGAGATTTTAAGATTTACAATGTTGGTCACATGTGTTCCATTGGAGAAATGACTGGATCTGCTTTTCCAAAAAACTTCCTTTGTAGTATCCAGATGTGAGTTCTCTCATGTCCTGTCAGCTGGGGGCATTTCCCTTTTTGCCTGAGGCAGGTAAAAAGACAAAGCCTTGTCTATTCTGCACAGGTTCAACGCTGTGCAAACTGAATTGTAATGTAATGAAGTTGTTATTGTCGAAGGTCCTCCAATTACCGGTGCAGGAATTTAAGGTATGCTGCACAGAGAAATTGCTCCAATGAGCATGTGATTAATAAACCCTCCTGAAAGGATTAGAGGCACTTTCTCTGAGGAACTGTGTAATGGCTTGACAAGCTTTCTCGCTCAAGTAACTGCTAATGGCACCAATGCTATTTTGAGTCTGCCCATTATTCAACATTATCCAATGAACATGTGTCTTCCCACCATGCAAAATATACAGAGGAACAGAATTTTGGACTTAAGTCCCACTGACATCTGCCAGACAGCTTTGGTCCAGCTGTGTCTGCCACTACAGTTGTGATAGCAAGTGGAAAGGGCTGAGGGAGAGCAGAAGAGAGATGGTGAGCTTAGATGATCTCACATATGAGTGCAATTAGGTTTAATGGAAAAAAAGTGGAATGCAAATGTAATTTTATTTAAAAGAATCCCTGGTCAAATAAATGTGTTATATGCATTTTAATATCATTGTAAACTCTTTGTAACCCTAACCACCTTGTGTACACTGATACGGTGGATTTCAATTGCATCATACTCGACAGCTGCACATTAATGTTCACCCATAGCTCATGTTTTATATTCTAAAATCATTAAACTGATGGGACCTTTATTCATGCGCTTTATGTTGTTAGAAAGTCATTGAATTTTGAAATGTTTTGTTAATATAGTATTTTTAAAATAACTTCTGGTCATAGTGCTCATTCTCTGTCCGCAGACATGCATGGATAAGCACCAGGTGGTCGGGGTGCTCCGTCAGATGGAGAAGTTTCTGAAAGGCCAGGAGATGAGATTCACCGAGGGCCTCAGGATCATGAAGTCAAAGCTGGCGACACTTCAGAACTCGGTCTCCAAGTTACCTCAAGCGGACCAGACAGCCGGTGAGACCCTAATCACCCTCGTTATCATAATCATCATCATTTTTTATCTTTGAAGGCTTTTTTCTAAGCAGATAGTTTGACTTCTCAAAGTAGGACGCATGCACAACCATTACACTGAAGCAGCTAAACATCAAGCCATAATTTCCCATTGAAAGTAAAAAACACTGTACATAAAACAGATGATTTCAATCTGTTAGATCCGCCATTTTACAATAAAGTAGGTAACAAGGTAGAAATAGTTAAATATATCATTCTTGAACATTTGTCATATGGCTTAGTTAAATCAATACAAATAATGAGTGTTTTTGTATTCACAGAAGTAAAAAAAGAATGCTTGATGACTGTATCTTTTTACATATCGTTTACCATTCTCTGCTTGTTTGACATAAATAATCATTTGAGAAATGTGTGTTGGAAAAGGAGGATGCCCTTCAATAATGGTGTTCTCTATGGAGTGCTCAACCCAAAATCTAATAATAATATTTCAAACAATGTGAAAACATACCAGATTTCCAAGTCAAGGAGGAAAAACAACTAACATTTCACAGAGTGATGATGGCCAAATAAATAATTGAAATGTGAGTGTTTTGTCCTCCTTGACTTGGAAATCTGGGATATGCTAACTTCTTACATTTTTTTGGAATATGTTCTAGGCAGGAATACTTTGATTTATTTGATAGGTAAAGAATGCCATTCGGATATAACTTTATGGTTAGTTACTGTATGACATTTATTTGGTAAGACATCATTAAAACACATTCCATGCGTATGCTGTAAAATCACAATATCTGGTGATAGGCATACAACTAGATTTTTTGGAAGTTAAGTACTTGGTCCTTTTACGGAATATGTTATGAATTTATCTTCTCAGACAGAGTTCACTGATCGAGCAGTCATTTCATTTCATTTGCAATCCATGCTGTATAAAGTTTCACATGCATTATGACTGAGGTTTTGTTCAGTAATTCAGTGATTGATTACTCACTCAAAGGCAACAGAAGATGTATAAGTATCACATTTAAAACATTATGGGAACATTCAATCGTTTGAAGTTAACATGGCTTCTTATGGGATTATATATTCATCCAACAGTGCAAGGTCATCTCAGTTACATATTTTTGGGCACTTGACAGGGGAAGTGGATTTGTGGAATTGTGTTGTTTGGCAACAGACACTGAGGCCAATTTGTTAGTGATGGACCAGTTCAGTCCATAACTCTGGAGAGTACTTGGCCAGACAGGAGGAAGCTGATATTTTACATTTACACTAATAAAGGCTCAACAAAATAAAAACACAAATGAGAAAATATGGCACTATCCATTTTATTTGCTCTGATCAGGAATAGAATCCCAAATCCTCATTTAAATTAAATACATTTTTGATTGAGATAAAGTTACAAATAGGAATCGGTAAAATAATATTGATTCTAATAAGGCTGAAACATACACATATTTGTTTGTTATTGAGTCATCTGCAGATTGTTTTTCACTGATAAATCTTTTTGGAAATCGCAGAAAACAGTGAAAAATGTTAGTCCCTGTTCCTCAAATTCCAAGATGATGGCTTTAAATGTCTTGTGCTTTCAGTCCAAAACCCAAACATATTTTAATATCCTTCACTAGAGGAAAGAGAATTACCCTTTTTCCTGCCATTATTTAGGAAAATGTACTTTAAAGATTCATCTCTGAAACTCTAAATTTGATTACGATGTGGTACAAATAACGTGTTGGCAGCCTTCCCCTTCTTAATTCAGTACTTGTCAACATTTGTTGTGAGCCTTTTTTCCACTGCATATTTTTCCTTATATCAAAGACATATCTCACACATTTATCTTATACAGCTGTGACAAAATGCTCAAACCTTAACACACAGATTTGTCAGGAAAAGACACAAGGGGCTTACATCCCCCTGCAAACACAAGCTGGACATAATGGAGGTTTGGCCATGCAAGATTGGCCTATTACACAGTTTCTAAACTTTACTGACAGTTGTTTTCTCTTGAGGTTAAAGGAATAGGAAACATACATTGGGATAAAGCATAAATCCTACAATGTTACGTAATGTACTTATGTTCCATATTATGCAAGCCTTACATTTTCCAGAGCATGCAAAATAGCATAACATTTGGCTGCTGGTGAAATTCTGACTCGTAAAAATGGCCGTTGCTGTGCTGGTGGACTCTGAATGAGGCATTTTAATCGTCCTCTCCCATGAAGGCTGTGAAGTTCCCAGCGACACGTGTAGCCTATATCCCCAGGCAGGGAATGCCAGAGGATGTTCGGGAAGCTTACTCCACATGTGACCGGCCTTCCTCTTGTGCTCTCTTTCTCTCTCCCACAGCTCCAACCACCTGCCCCTCTCTGGAAGCCCCTGCTCACGGAACAAAGTTCGGCTCAAAGTACTTTGTCGGACATGAGGTCCACTTCACTTGTTCCCAGGGATACCGTCTTGTTGGCTCTGCTACGCGGGCCTGTCGGGATAACGGCACCTGGACGGGGATCAGTGCTCTCTGTAAAGGTGAGCAAGACCCAGGAATTCCTCGCATATTACCCTGCCTTATTCTCCTTTTCCCCTGGTTTCTTTAAGCAAAATAGCATGTTTTCCTTAGACAAATACACATGAGAAAAACAGAGAAGGAAACAAAGTGCCCCCAGCCCACACACAGCATGTATGGTAACAATGTCTTCCCAGTTCAAATAAAAAAAAGTAAGGTGTGAAGTTCTAATGTATAAATTATATAATTTATGATTTCCATACTACTTCCCTAGCAAAGGGGGTAGGAAGCCCCCATATGTTTTCATATTTTGCTGGTTTCCCATATCACTATATAAGATCTTTTCATTATGATAATGGTATGGTTATTAATCTAACCATTGCCTCTGTGAATAAGGAAGTTCATGTTTCCAGTTTTTTTTTAATACACTTTTTCCCAGCTATGCTCAAATCCACCATGTGTGAGAGCAGTCTTACATTTGATTCCTACAAGGAATGCAGTCTCACTTCGGTATATTTTCAGAAGCTTTTCACCCCAACAAGTTTCTTCACATACACACAAACACAAAATGTTTTTGGGCCACAACCAGCAATGTCTGTGCATTATTCAAAGTGGGGCAGAAACCCCCACAATAGATTAGGACAACCTTTTCTCCGCAGTGTCTGAATGCCAGGCTGAAAGACACATCAGCCCAAAAGCCAAACTGAGCTCCTCACACACACACACACACACACACACACACACACACACACACACACACACACACACACACACACACACACACACACACACACACACACACACACACACACACACACACACACACACACACACACACACACACACCACACACACACACACACACACACACACACACACACACACAGAGATAACAGGCAAAGAAAAGAGCCATTCTTTAGAGTGGCTGGAGCTCCTCGGTGAACTGAATGAAGACCTCGTTAAAATGGCATTAAATGTCTCCGAACACAGAAAAACACCTGTACTGCATTCCACTGTGGGGTGCCTTTCACTCCAGGTCTCTGCTCCTCATGAACAGCAGTGTTGGGGCTACTGTAAGATAAACCCTACCTCTCTTGCTCATGTTTCCCCCCGCTCTTTGACAGCGTTTATGCCCATACCATGGTCTGATAGCACAGAAGTATGCCAAGCATGCTATTGATAGCCTGTGCTGGTGGCATTCTTCCAGAAATTCCAAGTGGCGCACTCAGTTGAACATGTGCATACGTTTATTGACCTTCATGGTTAAAACAACACGAGAAGGCTCGACTCTGCACAGTATTATCCCTGTTCGTGTTTTTCAGCCCCGCATGATGGATCTAAATTTAGTCATGCTTAAGAAAGCAGTATTGACCGAGTGTGAAAACTTTAAAGTTAGGAAGAATGTAAAAAAATCTAGCAGAGTGAAGTGGGTCTTTTCATGTTATGGACATGTGGTGGCCCCTGAGGGAACCAAATACACATTAAAGGGATTGGTTGTCATCCAGTATACTGTGGCCTCAGAGAGCAGAGGCTGCTTCATCATTTGAACATCTGCACAACACCACTGAGTACAGAAACAAAGATCATAAGATGTGCTGTCGTTCCTACCTTTCCTACCTTCTGTTAATGTCAATACTTTTTGGACTACAGGTTTATCATCCACTGGGCTTAGATGATTAATTAAACAATAGGCCACAGATAAGACTCTACATTGGTTGGTTAATGAGTGATCTATACTTTATACATATAAATGTCCTGTGTGTTTTTAGTAGTTATAAGTATTTTACCCAGCTTCTCGCCATACCCAACATTTCTGTACTCCCTTTTACAAAAGCTTTAAACCAATTTGTTGGTTGTTAAGCAGCAGTGACTCGGGTATAACTCATGACACTGGTATGCACTCATCTTTAATATTTACAGTTGTGATTGAGTAGTTTTACCAGCAGGTAGCATGATTGCTGCACAGGAAGGTTCGCTGAGTTAATATTGTGTGCTCTTTATCTTAAAAGTGTTGCATAGATTATATCCTGCAAAAAAGACATTGAAGACATATACATATATATTATTGTTAAGTCTGCCAGGTGCGTGTTAATGGATCTGATCGATGGTTACCCATTCATTTTTTTATGACGGTCATTTTGTCATACAAAATAATAGATATCATTGTTTAACTGTTCTTTTATGATTTGTATATTTAGTTTACTCTATTAATAACCCTCCTGTTGTGTTCCGGTCAAATCTGACCGATTTACTACTTTCATCACTCATAACTTTTGTGTTTTACATTTGGTTGCATCGAAGCTTTATGATATCCTCCAGTAGACATTTGAACATATACAATTGCTGATAAAAAATGACCACCATAAGAAATAATCCATCAGATCAGATCCATCACACTCACCAGACCCTCCCATTTGACATTCCTGCCCTCCCCCAATAAACACGTTTTTTTTATTATTTATAAAAATAAAAAATAAAACGATTTAAAATGTTTTTATTATAAATAAACTGAACTTTAATGCTACGATGTATTTGATGTCAGATAGTAATATAAGAGTAATAAATGAGAAACAGGTATGAAATACTACATGACAGTAAAACAAGAATACAGTTTGAAAGGGTAATTAGTAAAATATCCATAAAGAAATAGAAAATCTGTTTACAGTTGTGTTTCATCTGGGTGTTGAGAGATGTATCCATAGATCTCTTAATGTTGCTCTCAAAGTGCACCAGATTGATGCTTTTAACTTCAATATTAAAAAAAAAATCTTCCCGGGGGAGCATGCGCCCGGGCCCCCCTAGAGGAGGTGAGGTCCACCCCCCACTTAAACAAAAATAGCACTTTACCCTTCCTATAAGCCGTGAGCTGATTATCGAGCCTTCATTGTAACAGTCGCGGGTGTACTGTCTGTGTATGTGCTGTGGGGAGTGTTGCAGTAGAACATTCCACTGTAGCGTCGGTACATTAATGGGAAACCCTACATGTTTGAGCAACCGCTATGAAACGTCAAGCTACCCCACAGCACCCCCAAAAGAAAATCTCTGTTCTGGTGCCGGGTCTGACACACACACACACACACACACACACACACACACACACACACACACACACACACACACACACACACACACACACACACACACACACACACACACACACACACACACACACACACACACACACACACCAATTTGATGCGTCTCCCGCTCTTATGTGCCCATCCCCCCACGTGAACCACACCTGGCTAGACTAAACAATGTATCATATATAATGTTATTTTTGCCTTGCTCTCATTTTACTGGGCAGCACAATGAGTAGGCGACCGATTTGGCTGTTATCTGTCTGAGAGATTATTCTTTGTGAATTTACTGCAGTTTTTCATGTATAGCAGTAGTCTGATACATTGTTTACTGTTTGAAAGGGTGTTAAATAAAATGTGGTGATGATTCAGGTTTTTTTTGTTAATATAAGAGCATTTAAAATAGGACTGGTCAAATTTGACCGGGAACACCAAAGTAAGGGGGGGGGGGGAAACGAACACAACAGGAGGTTTAATGAGTGTGAATGAATATGTATGAAACATGAGTAGAATTGCTATAAACCTTTACAACATTTTTTATGGGAAGTTATTGAGAATGCTGTATTTCACAGCTGTTGGTTTTGCAGAAAGAAAACCCCTCAAATCTAAAAAACAAGGCATTCATAACTTTATTCTCGTGTGTGATGAGTAAAACAGACTATAACCAACCAATTGCAACTTTGCAAAAGGCACTTTAATAGTCATCCCCATTAGATGTTCCACAAATGGAACACATTAAAGGGCTTCACTGACTTACTGTGCCCATAATGACAGTACCAGTCTCTCATTCTTAAGTATCAGCTATCAAACTGGGTGGACACTGATTGCCACTTCATGGATGGAAGGTAGAAAGGAAAGGCTTACACGGCTTCTTTATGTGTTTCTTTTTTCTTTTACTTTCCGGACGTAATCTTACCCTTTTGCTGTTTGTAGCCAACCATTATGTTTAATTTTTCAAAAAACTACGTTATTTAAAAACATGTATAAACTAAGTCTTCTTTATGTTGTCATGGTTGACAGAAGCTGACTGATTTACCACTTTAGAAAGGCCTTAAAGACTATTTTATGAACTGTGAAATCAATATAAAAGGAAGCATCAAATCTGCAAATTAATATGTTTTTATCTTTTCAGCTGAGGAAGTTCTGTCTGAGAAGGAACTCCAAAATTGCAACTGTTGTGCCTTTGCTCTGTTTGCATCAATTTGATGGAAAGGTTCAGAAGAAGCTGAGCACAGAGATAATTTTTTCTTCACAGATATAAGTGAGTGCGAAAGTAATCCCTGCCAAAATGGAGGTACCTGCGTGGAAGGTGTTAACCAATACAAATGCATCTGCGCCCAGAACTGGAGTGGCTCTCACTGTCAGCACCAAACACAGACAGGTCGGTAACAATGTGTTCATCTCCAGATCATGTTTTAGCACAGGTATTCAACTTCCCTATTTCCCTCCTAATGCAGCACCACCTGAGTGGAGCGTCATGAACGATCCAGCATTCAGCCGGAGACCTCGCTGCGCCCAAGTGAACCAAGCCCAACACTGCAGCTGTGATGCAGGCTTCCACATGAGTGGCACCTCTGACAACAGTATCTGTCAGGGTGAGCCGTAATTACTTAATTGATCCCTGGAGGGAAATTCTCTTTTCGCAACTCCTCCTCACAGGGAAGCAAGGTCAGCTAAAGAGCAGTTCCCCCGAGCTGGTGCCCTGCTAAACAACACCTCAGCAGGGCACATAGCAGGCCAGTAGGCATTTTACTGCCGAAAAGATACTCCACTACTGATTAATACGGCTACAAATGAGAGTAATCTGTGGAGCCAGTCTGTGACAAACAAAATAATCCTCTCGGGTGTTCACAAGCTGATTAGCATCAATTTAGGTCACAGTTCAGTTTGCTTTTAAGATGTAATTGGTTGAGTAAGAGTTTGAAATGCAGCTGCCTGAAATGTGTTTATGTCCAATACGCTCTGAGGGCAAAACAAAGGGACCTAAATACTGACGACAACATGAGAAACAAAGTGTGTTGTAAACTGTAGAATGTATGAGGTATATCATCATTTAAACCTTAAAGGTGATGCATTTTTATGTTATGCATTTCTTTGTCTGTTTCCTGACAGATGTAAACGAATGTGAAGTGTACCGGTTGGACCAAGGAGGGAAGCTGTGCGTCCACGAGTGTGTGAATGTCCCGGGCTCGTACCGCTGCTCCTGCCCCAGCGGCTACAAGTTGCTTGCAGACAGGCGGAGCTGTGAGGGTGAGTGACAAGAGGGAACAGAGGACAAAGGCTCATTCACAGAGCGCTGGCTGCAGATCTGCATGGGTATGTAGCTCCAGAGAGGAATACCTGTGTCTTAGAGAGACGAGGAGCTGCAGAGCTTTGAGTTCCTGCAGAGGAGAAGTGTCTGTTGGCCCAAAAACCCCGTTAACACTTTCATTTGCACCCCTGAAGCTCGCAAAGCTTGCCAGTGGAATAAATGACCTCACCGTTTCCCAGAAGAAAGGCATCTTTAGGACATGAGGCGTTTGGGGGAGACTAAACTAAAAAAACAAATAAACAATCGTAGCACAGCACCCCTCAGCTCAGACTGTGGTAACCAGGAAGCAGAGCGTCAGTCTGGCAAGCCTCTCTCCCCGCTTCTCCTTCTTACACGGCTCTGCTGTTTTTTCTTCCAGATGTGGACGAGTGTTTAAGCCAGCAGCACAACTGTAGCCGAGGGACAACTTGTATCAACATGGGGGGAGGCTTTCAGTGTGTCAACCCAGAGTGTTCCCGTTCTCATGGCAACATCAGCTACGTCAAGACATCTCCCTTGTAAGTGGATACACCTGTGTTTCTTTGTCATTTTTTATACAAGGGAAAAGCTATATCAAAAAATCTTCCATGTGTGAGCAGAAAATTGTCACCAAGTTTAAATGTACCTTTTGCGTAGTAAATTAGATGCTGTCAGAAACGTATGGGCTCCTGGAGGACATTTTGACCCCATTTTGGGATCTTTGTTGTGTTCAGGGTCATGGTCAGTGATCCATGACAGTGAAGTTGAGATACATGTATCAACGCACACAGCCTCAGAGTTCTCCAGATGAACCATGAAAAGGGAAATTCATGTTTTAGACAACTTGGGACTTAGTTTTGGCCGTCATTGATATTGGAAGAAATAACATAAAGCTCACCATGGTAACCTCTGAGTTCTGGCAATGCAGCCATTTCACTGCCAAGTTAACCTTTTTTTCCTGAGAGAAATTGAGGGCTGCCTATAAAACCATCACTAAAACAGTTTTGAACATTCATCACAGTTTACAAACCTACTTCCTTTTTTGCGATTTGCCTTAGTTGTGCTGTTACAGTATTTGCATGCAGTGAAATCTCATTTTCAGATTTACTATCAAAAACTGTGCTTTAGATATTAGAGCTAATCTAATTTACTACTCATGGTCTGACTTTGTTGTAGTGATGCCTCTAGACTTAATTCCAGTAATAAATTATATCAATAAAACACAAGAGTTATAGCCCTACCACAGTGAAGTAAATCATTTCTGACAGCCCAACTTCCCTAGATACCATTTTTTCCCTCTTAATACCCATGTACAATGTCTGTGTCCTGGCCAAATGTTAGGAGACATTACAACATCCCTCTTCCTATTTGCCAATCATCAGCAAGCTGCCTCATTTAAGAGCATGAAACAAAACTCTGTCTGCTTCTACTGAACCATCAACGTGGTGAAACACCGCTCCACTGCTAGTCAAAGGAATGGATAAATGGGACACAACAAGGGGAGAAGGCAACATGGAGTAAGACAGTAGCTGTGTCCCCATTTCAACATAATAATGTTTTGCAGGTTTTTTAAGAGTTTGAAAGTACTGCCCTAAAGAAAAAAATCACAGCCTGCTAAGATCTATGATGACTTCAGGGCACATGAGCTCATATGTACTGTATGTAGGTGTGTCACTCTTCTCCAGTCTCAAAGAAACCGCTATAAACACTTTCCCACAGGGATGGATTAATTATATAATCGTTTTCTCAGTGTCAAAATGTGCATGACAACCGGCAAACACACAGAGAGTAGAACATGTGTACCACTTTGTCCTGTAATGCCCCCTGCTTACTGGCTGTGTTTCTGTCCTGCAGTCAGTGTGAGAGAAACCCCTGCCCCATGGACAGCCGCTCCTGCCACCTGGCTCCTAAGACCGTGTCCTTCCACTACCTGTCTCTGAGCTCCAACCTGCAGACTCCTGCAACTCTTTTCCGTATGGCGACCGCCTCCGCCCCAGGTCGCACCGGGCCCGACAGCTTGCGTTTCGGCATAGTGGGCGGAAACTCCAGAGGTATCTTTGCCATGCAGCGTTCAGACCGGCAGACCGGGGAGTTGATCCTGGTCCAGCAGCTGCGGGGGCCGCAGGAGATCAGCATAGACGTGGACATGTCTGAGTACAGCGACCGCACCTTTCAGGCCAAGCATGTAGCTAAGGTTAACATTCTGGTTTCACCTTACAACTTCTGAGAGAGAGCTGGAGATGGAGGAAGATGAGACGTCGAGGTGAAGAAGAACACGGAGCAGTGTAATGGGAACTGAGTTTCCTGGTACTTTATCCCCTATCAGTAATTCAATTGTCTGAGTAGCCAGTTGCAGGACAACACTTGTTCAGTGGCCAAATACCACAATAGTGAGAGTGGCAGGTACGGAGGCCCATGTGGTTATGACTTAACAACAGGTGAAAGAGGCGTTGCCAATGTAATCTTTCTACGTTCATTTTTCTATGTTTGACTTTTTTCCAATACTCACCAGGCAACAAGAGGCTGAAATGCACCACTACCCTACATTTGGTAAAATTACCTTTGTGTCTTATCAGTTTAAAACACATATGATTGTTTCTTATGTTTGGAGTTTATGGATACATTTTAAACTCTCTCTAGAATACTTCATTGTTTTAAGTCCAATTTGGAACACGTTTTGCAGATCAGACTCTTGTGGCCAGCACTTACAACACTTTCACCTGCCAACACTTATTTCACGTGTTGCACAGACGAAAAACACTGTAAAAACTCGAAACCTTACCAAGTATATTGGTCTTATTTCTAGTCATATAATCTCTGTATGTGTTTTTACACCTGATATAAGACATAATAACTTAAAGGTGGGGTAGGTAATTTTGGAGAAACCAGCTCGAGTGGCTAGAATTTGAAAATACGCAACCGGAAAAAAATCTGCCACTTCCTTACAGAGCCCCTCCTCCAACACACACGAACGCGCACATGACCAATGAGGGCACGAGATAAATTTGTGCACAGATGGAAGGCTGACAGGCAGGTAGGCCATCCAGTTATTTTAGCCGAGCCGGCTAAAATGATTGGTCGTGCTTTTACAGTACTACGGCTTCCATAGATGACATTTTTGTATGGATTTTTTGTCAAAGCACTTAAGATATTCATTGCTATCAGGATGTTAAGAGCATTCCATGGAATATAACAAAAAGTGTATCTCGAGCCGGTTTCTCAAAATTACCTACCCCACCTGTAAGAAGTAACTATGCAGTGAGATACAGGGTCAATGCATGTATCTTTTTAAGTCAAAGACTCTTGAAAACTTATTTTCAGCTGTATCTCAGATTAAGTTTTTTTGACATGTCACAAGGTTTTTAAGATGCTGTGGTATTTGTGAAAGATGGATCACCTTCTTTCAAGAAATATGTATTACTTGATTTTAGGAAACACATTTTTGTTGGAACATCACCAACTCAACTTAACATCAGAAAACAGAAAACTAAAATGCATTTCTGGCTAATTTTTTTTACACATAATTTCCTGATTCTGGTAAAAATATGTTTTCCCAGCTAATTACAAGATCTTATTTATCTAAATATCCCATCTTAATTCAAGAAATCTTACCAAGCAAATGTTTACTTGTTCTATTGGTAGATTTGTTTACTTATTACAAGCGAAAACACCTTGTTTTCATAATTGTTTTTACTTGATTCAGGAGCAGCGTTCTCCAGTGTAGATTTTTAGACTTTGTAGACTTTTTTCACCTCTTCTTAAGTCATTACCGGCAACATTACTTTTTCTTACTTGCCTCTCAGGGCTTCCTTAGACAAGCCAATATTTAACAGTTATATTAGGAATAACAATATACGGCAGAACAGATCATAGATGCATCTTTGAGGAGTGTCAATAAGAGCTTTGACTGATGACGTTTGTCTGAGTGTGTTTGAATGGATGAAAACTATCTAATCAGAAGCATAATGAATGGGTTGGGAGGGATGGAAGTATGTTTTTTGAGATTGCTGTTGCTTTATGTTGGTATTTTTTGAATGTCTATCAAAGATCATGTCTGTGTAGCTCAGGGTCTGGCCCCGGGGCTGATGCACTGCCCTCGCTTTGTTAATGATAAATCCCTATGAGACATTAGTGCTCCTGAGGCTCTAATTTATTGGAAATATTATTGGTTTTTACATTGTGACATACTGTACGCCACATGTTTATCTTCCATCGTATACTGTATATTTGTTTTGTTTTTGTACTAGCCTTTCTTGTTTAAGGTATCATCCATTATACTGAGAGAGTTTCTTTTAAAACAGTAGATCCAATACTGTAGCTGGGCATATTTTCTGTATTACTCATTTTCTGTATGTAACCCAGAAATCATTATATTCAAAATCACAGATGATTTGGCAAGCTTGGCAAATGCACTACACAATTTATGTGGAATTTTAATTGTCTCTGCATAACTGAAATAAAGTCAGTCTAACATTTCAGTTTTTGTTAGATCTACCTCACTTGACAGTGAACAGCGTGCTATTAAATGTCCTTGCGGCAGTGCTTGTTTTCATTCTTCATCCATTATGAGTGAATTTTAACAAGCGAAATTCAAACCGACTCATAGTTGATGAATGAACGCTGGATGGCTATAAAAAAAACGTTCCTGACTGAATGGATGAAAGGTTGAAGAGGAAGAATGTGTGTTTTTATAAAATAATCCTTGTGGCAGAAGTTCACAGACAATACACGGCAAAGCTGCATTTCTCTAGAAAAGGAGTCTCACAATATTCCGATTTAACTTTTATACAAGGAGCAGTAACTGTTGTACTTGGGAAACATATCTCAGTGTGTCTACTTGTTAGAGAAAGAAGAGACTAATGTTCACCACATGTGTTCTCTTAACTCTGTCCTTCTCTCACGTCTCCATCCAGGGTTTCAAAAATGCAATAAAAGGGGCCAGAAGAGCGGCATGCTTCCAGGAGGGAGTGGATGGTAAGAATCAAAACACATGCCTCAACGGTACACACTGATCTGAGAATGACAACGTGCATTAGTGGCAGGCGTAATTTCCTTCAGTAACTAGAACAGGAGGGCTCACATTGCAGCCTTTGTTTCAGGCTGTTTGATGTTCACATGTTTCATCCATTCGGAGGCGGAAGGATATATTACTGCCAGAGACAACTGGAGAGTCCTGAGCTACGTAAGCCATTTGCTGGAGAGTGATATACATAGTCATGTCTGAAAGGCAAAGGGTGGAAACTTTAGTAACTTTATTTCTCTGTAGAGGCTTCTTCTTTAGTTGAGTGCACACCCAAAATAACAGAAACACACATAGAGTAGATTTACACAAAGATACAGAGGCCTGCAGTAATTGTGATTAAGCTTATTTTATCGTCTTTGTTGAATGAATTCCTCTGATCCAAGTGTCCTGCCTTGGTAATTGTCAATGCTAAGATGCTTTTGAAATTGGCATACATTTCAAATCACAACCACACAACATTTTGAAGGGAAACAGCAGTGAATCAATGGATTTACATCAAAACAGAAAAAAGTGTGTGTTGCTGGGGTGTTAGTCCAGAATGAAAGGCACTGTAGAGGAATTTGCTGTACTTTTTTTTATTTCATCGCGGAGAGGGGAGAGGTCGCCTGTGGATCATCTTTCTTGTGGGATAGATGTTTGGAAGAAATCCAGAAATGTGTGAGGGTACTGTATAGCAAAGCAGAATGAATGTCCTTTATAATGTTTCTGACTTTCAAGCTGCCTTTAACCTGACATTACATTAATGACACTCGTTGTTTTCATTTTCGAGACAAATAACAAGAAGAGACACAAACGCCGGGTTGCAAAGAAAGCTGTTTCAGAATGAATGGATTCCTGTAGCAGGTTGCTCAGATGGACTTCTCTCTGGCTCCGAGGCCCACAGGGCTTTTCTCAAAACAAGGCCATGTTTTCCTGTTTGTCTCCACAAAGAGATCATGGTGGTTTTATTGGGGATTTCACAATTGTATTGTTGCAGTTCAGGTATTTTTGAGCCAAATACAACAGCAGAGGCCTACGGCAGGTTCTTTTTCTTGAATGGAACCGGGTAAAAACAAGTCCAACACCCAGTAGTGCATTTTTCCATGTTGGATAAAAGTGCATCTTTTACCTGCCATTTTAACTTAACCCCATAAAAACATTGTTCTTTACATTAATGCACATCAGGCGAATAATGTCTTGTTTTTTTAATACTGTAAAACCTGCACAACGCTTTTAACATGTTGCACATTGCTGCTCCACACTACAACTTTTTAAATCTGCACAGCTCTCCACATAGAATATAGTATTTCATATTTTATTTTACTGTACTCAGTTTCTCACGTATATATATTTTGTGTAAATATTGTTTTAATTTATAATTTGTTACAAGTCTTTAAAATAGTCCTATTTTTGCTCCTTTCTTCTGTGTCTTCGTATGCCCCATTTACACCAAAGCAGGTTCCATTATGTGTAAACCTACTTTGCAATAAAACCGATTCTGATTTTGAAAACATTTGAGAGGTTTAACCGGTTTGGTATAAAATAACTTGCAATGTCATTATGTCTGATACATTGGGCAGTTTGTGGATGTTATTCTGTTTCAGCACTCTGGCTCACAGGTTTTTTTGGGCTAATGGCTTGAGACTCAGGGTAATTTTAGGAACTTGGTTTTATTCAAAATGTCCTCTCAGTATCGTGTCATTCATCATCATTTACCTCACAAAAGCCCTTTCATTCAACAGATTGTTCTCCAGTTCCTCTTCTGAACTCCTGAATCTTGTACTCACAAGACAGACAGAAGAAACATATTGTAAATGACGCAGCAAAATCACAGCTATGGTAAAATATGTATGTTTTATTTGCCAAATTAATGCTGAAAAATCAAAGACCAGGAAACAAACACGCTCCTGCGTTTGATTATCTATTCTGATCATACACACTTCCTGAGAAGGAAGAGAGGAGAAAACTGCTGGTATGAAAGGTTTTTCATGACACCCATAAAAAAAGAACAGGCATATTATCCAGACACTTCTCCACCTGTGGAATTATGGAATAACAGGAATCAGCCAAAACCCATCTGTACAAATAATCGAGGTTCACTGCAGGTGTCTGCAGTTTTATATAACAGAAGGACAGCGTGCCATCATAAGCACAATTATTCCAGGTTTCCATCCAAAAAACCCAGAACAGTGACATTATAAACTTAAGTGATCAGCTTGTGCTTATGCTAACCACATAACTTATGTAATGTGTCATAAGGAATGGCCTAGACAGAAACTTCTTGCTGTTACATTTACTTAAGACAACAGACATTAAGACTACAGTGTTGCAAAACTACACAGACGAAAACACTGGGGCAGCCATTTTCAGAAATGATAAGCCTCCTTTGACAGAAAATAAATGTTATTACGGTGCTTTTGAAACCACCACATGTTCATATCACTAATAAATCAAACAAGCTGCAGTTAGAAAAGGAAGCACACATTGTAAACACACTTTGGAGTAAACATAGGCACAGACACTCTTTAACAACTTATAAGTACACTTAGAACACAAATAAATAATGAAATGCTTTAACTCTATGTTGACATACATATTGCTCCTTATTCTCAGAATACACAAACCTGCCCACCCAAACACGTAGGGTCATCAAAACCTGATTACACCCCCCAATTATACACTACTGAACCCAGTTACATTTCAATTGTACACATCACTAGTTTGTGCTTCTTCCTCGCCCCCTGATCACACACCAATACTCAGTATGTCTGGAGAATGAAACCCTTTCACACACATTATTCTCAATTACCTGAACAGATAGGCCTCATACAAGAACTACATTTACTCACAGCTGTGATCTTCAAAGTGCATAAAAGCAAATGATCTACTTAAAGTCAATGTGTTTGAATTATTCATTTTAAAGTTGGCAAAGAAACAAATAAAATAAAAAAGTGTTTCACTTAGTCACATG